GATCCTGTGTATTTCTCTCACTTTGACTCCCAAGGCTCTTGGCTCTTGTCATCTGGCGGCAGCTTTGAATCCTACACATATTTGTTGTAGTGGGAGTTTCTCAGTAGATGCAGTCAAAGCCACAATGTGCCTCTAAAGGCATTTTACCTTGTAAATCAGCTTGGCTCTGGGATGCAAATGTGCCTGTCAGGACCGATATCAGCTCAGATTTCACACAGTGATGCTGTCCCACTGCTAGCTGGCTGTCACTCAGGCTGAATGGATCATTATTACACTTAAAGGCCAATCGATGTCAGTTTCTTTAAAGACTGAGTAGGAGGGGTCTTTGCAAGTGGAAAATGAATGAATGAGAGGAACAGGAATAGGCAATGGCATGTATTGAACTTAGTATTTATTTGCCCAATAAATGACAGCAAATTACCTAAACATCACACACAGATATCAAGTTGTGTTGTCTAAGACAGACACTAACACCTAGCTTCTAATTGGTTCCCCAGACACCACGGCTAATGAAGTCAATCAAAATGTCAGGCCGTCCAGGAGAGAGAAATGTGATGAAAGTGTACTGTGGTGGGCTGTAGAGAAAGGACAGTGGCAGCTGATGCTATTTATGCTAGATTTAGGCTAGAACACAAAATGGAAAGGAAATAAATTATCTCATTTGGAGGAGAGAAAAGTGCTGTTTTTTTGTCATGATTTGTTATTTCTAGCTCTCTCTTACTTGATTGCAGTCTATGCTTAAAGAGGAGTTTGAAGCAACTCTGATTTAGCAGTGGACTCTACTGAAGAGGATTTTTCGTACTTAAACAGTCCTCATTTTAAATCCCAAATCCTCAACAAGCTTAATCAAGGACCCCCAACCACTCTCAAACTATCATTTTAAGCCACTCATAATCAGGCACTATGAGGAGCTGAGCTAGGACATAAGGTCAGCTCTGCCCTTGGGAAAATGGCTGCCTCTTCATACACTATCATATAGTAAGGCAATGAAGCCTACATGGGTTTGAAAATGAAGCATAGTAAGTATGAGCACAATCACACAAACACAGGTTTTTGTTGTGATTCATATCTTACTCTTGGCTTTATATAACAAAGTTGTCCCTTTGGGGATAACAAAATCAATTTTCCAAGGGAGACCTGGGCCTAGTAATAATCTCTAGCCATGTAAAATTCTGTTTTGAAGCAACATGTTATTTTGAGGACCAAAGCTGATATGTGAAGTCACAGTGTGAGTGCATGACTGTCTGTCTGTACACCCTCAGGGATACACAGTCACTGCTCACTGTGGATTCCATTGAGCCTAAAGCATTTTGGGTAATGTAGTTTTGTACAGCTCATTTATTCACACAGCCAAACTGTATTTGAAATGTTGTGCACTCACGGTGTAGCCAATGTGATGTTTTGATGTCATTGGTTTACCCTTGTCAGTAAGTGAGTTTATATGATTGATATGAGGCAGCATCCCTCATGTTGCCAAAAATGCAATCATACATTTTAATCAAAACATCAAAACCGGTTTACCTTCATTTCAACATATCACTCTACATCCCTTCATTCACAGCACAGGCTACAATAGCGGTCACCCGTCCACCAGTGCCTGTGCACACTGCACCACTAATGTCGCTCTCTTTGTTCTGTCCTTGTAGCATTTGTAGTCGTAGTAACCAGTTTTATGGCCCCCTTGTCCTATTGTGTCATGGTATTCCCCTCTCTGCTTAACAGCATGGTTCCTCTCTGCCTTATGGCTAGTTGTGATGGATAGCCTTGTGTAGTAATCTATACATTGCATACAGGTGCCTGGTTGAAGCCATTGGAGCCTGGGCCTCCTGTGATATACAGTTCTATAATATAATACAATACAATACAATAATACGTCCAGGATTTTTTCTTGACCACATGACTTGATTGCCATATGCTATAACTAGGGTCCAGAGTTTTTCCTGGTCAGGGTATGTGGTAACGTCAGGAAATACTCCTGGCCCTAAGTGTAGAGTTGAATAGAAGCACTTTATTGCAGCACTTAGCAGCACTCGGAGGAATGAGAGCCGTGGCCAGGCCATCTGTTCAGATCTGTTCAGTTGTGTAGCTAACACTGTTATCCACCCACTACTGGTATATCCCACTCATACAATTATGTCATACATGGCAGATCTGGACTATATAAATGGGAAGCTTTATGGTTTTCTTCCATTAATTATGAATAATGAGTGAGATAGAGTAAACATCGGAACCATCCACCTTCAGTATTATGGAAGCATTTTCCTGATATGTTTTGACAATAGGAAACTCTATGTAAAATGTATCCCCTCTGCTTTGAAATGCATTAATGGCCTTTACTTGTAAGTCTATTTATGAGATCTTATTTGCATATAGAAGAGGCTAGAAAGGAAAGGTTATGGAGCCTGCTCTGCCTGTTCACTGGAAATTATACTGTAGTCCAAGTGAACCCTCTGACTGGCTGGCTGTGTGTGTGCCATTATCTTTTTTTGTGTGTGTGTGTGTGTATTTTACCCCCTTTTTCAATCTTGTCTCATTGCTGCAACTCCCCAACGGCGAAGGTCGAGTCATGCGTCCTCCAAAACATGACCCGTCAAACCGTGCTCCTTAACACCCGCCCGCTTAACCCGGAAGCCAGTTGCACCAATGTGTCGGAGGAAACACCATTGAACTGAAGTCAGCCTGCAGGCTCCCGGCCCACCACAAGGAGTCGCTAGAGCGCAATGAGCCAAGTTAAGCCCCCCCTGGCAAAACCCTCCCCTAGCCCAGACGACGCTGGGCCAGTTGTGCACCACCCTATGGGACTCCCGGTCACAGCCTGGGATCGAACCCGGTTCTGTAGTGACGCCTCAAGCACTGCGATGCAGTGCCTTAAACTGCTGCGCCACTCGGGAGGCCATGTGAGCCATTATCTAAACATGCTATATGAGGCAAATGTTTCTTTGCTTTGTTAAATATTAAATAAATTCCACATTGAATGTGATATCAAATTATGTATTTATGAAATTAAAATGTAGTTCGGTTTTAGAAATGGATATTGCCGGCCTCCCAAGTGGCGCAGCTGTCTAAGGCACTTGGCTCATCGCGCTCTAGTGACTCCTTGTGGCAGGCTGGGCGCCTGCAGGCTGACTTTGGTCGTCAGTTGAATTGTGTTTCCTCTGACACATTGGTGCAGCTGGCTTCCGGGTTAAGCGAGCGGGTGTTAAGAAGCGCGGTTTATTTCGGAGGACACATGACTTGACCTTAGCCTCTCCCGAGCCTGTTGGGGAGTTGCAGCGATGAGACAAGATCATAATCACGAAATTGGGAGAAAAAAGGGGGTAAAAATGTAATCATAATATTATTTTTTAAATTATATTGCCCCCATAAAAGGCCAAATATCATCTGGTGGTTAATGACCAAATCAGAGAAAATTATGTTATTCTTTTTTTTAATATATATATATATTTAAAATATATCTACTACTTTACATCGTGTAAGAGTTCATGCAAACACTGTGAATATAAAGCCATTTAATTTCAGCGCGTCACTAATGTCACTATATCCTACTAAATGGTAATAGGCATTTCACCTGTTCAATGAAGCGAATACATAGTTTAGTGTATACTGGACCGAAATAACTCATGGCACCCCGGGGGACATTTAGTAGATTATCAAAGTATTTTATTCAACATCTTTAACAAATTTGATCGAAACTTAGCTTTAAATTAACTTCTTATTATATGACAGTAAAAGCGGTATTATCATGTCATATAGGGCTACTTTTTAATCTCTTGATATAGACGATTCGATATCTTGCACCCCTAATGCATGAAATGGTGCGCTCCGCCGCTGCAGCCGTTCTTGCCAGTGCTACAACGTTGCCACATCATTATCTGCCAAAAGGATCTACAATACCCCCGGGCTGACGCGCGCTATCTTCACAGTTGATATAATAAATAATGAATGAATCTCAAAGGATTGCGTAGGACCTGATTGCCGCTACCGAAATAATTGTTTTGGTGTGTCAATTCTCTGCCGTGACGGTGTTTGGTTAAAGGGATACCGTGGTAGCCTACCGGTGATGATCAACCTGACAGTGCGAGCCTCCCATGACAGCCAAACCAAGTGATGCAGCGAAAGGCGCATGTTTTTCTTGCGTTGGGAAACGCGAGATGAAACAACCGGGAGCGAAAGGAGCAAAGGCTCATGTGTATTAAGGGAATATGACACCAGAATGACTTTATATTTCCCTTTCGGACTTAAGTCATTGCATCAGAATTTCCATTACGGAATGCAACAGAATCGGTGACCAAGGATACTGGACGATTTGCTGGCTGCCATCTGCTGCTCAAAGAAGCAATATGCTATTAGAATTCATCCAACGTCTTTATACTCCTATGGAAACAGCAACTCTGGGCAGAATATGAAAAAAAAAAAAAAGCCATTAAATCTAGAGGATTGGATTTTGTGAGCATCTCTTGCTTGCTGCGGTCTGCTTTCCCTCAGCAGGCTACCAGTAACAATATTTTAGTTTCTCCAATGACTGTCTATCTGTTGTTAATATTGCATTTTAGTGGTATTTATTTGTCTGAAACCACGTGGCTGCTATTTGTTTTGCATCTCTTCTGAAGAGAGAGAGAAAAAGAGAAGAGGACTGTTACCTGCAATATGTCTATATTCACATCTTAAATTATTTAATACACAGATGTTGATGGATGAGCAGTCAAACTGGAGCTAATAACAGCATCTCATTTATCTCATTCACCTCCTCCAATCAAATGTTATTTATTATTTATACAACACTTAAACAGCAACCGGGACCTCAACCCCCCCCAAGGAGCATCAGAGGAGACACAGTGGAAGAACTCTGGGGATATGGGAATGCCATTCATTCTTCTTGAGGAAAATTGAAGTTTAATACAAAGGTGCTTGTTTATCATTAATTCAGCATTAGACTAAAGTCTTAACACGAAAAACCAAGCTCAGGTGAATGACCTCCGTCTTGAGTGTGTGTGTGTGGAATGCTGGACATCAGAATGAAGGAGGCGTGTCGTATCTGCGCAAGGGAGCTCTGCGGTAACCAACGGCGATGGATCTTCCACCCCGCCTCCAAACTCAACCTGCAGGTGCTCCTGTCCCACGCCCTGGGGCGAGAGCTGATCCGCGACGGCCGCGGCGAGTTCGCCTGCTCCAAGTGTGCCTTCATGCTGGACCGCATGTATAGGTTTGATACGGTGATTGCCCGGGTGGAGGCTCTGTCCATTGAACGGCTGCAGAGGTTGCTCCAGGAGAAACACCGGCTACGGGGCCTCATTGGTGGCCTCTACCGGAAGACCAACAGGGAGGAGGGAGGCAGTGGTGGAGGGGCCATTACTGGGCCTGGGGATACGGGAGGAGGGGGAGGAAGGGTACAGGGGGATGGTATGGTGGATATGTCCAGTCTGACCCATGCTAAGTACTGTGCCCTGCTCCAGGAGGACTTGGTGTACTCTCTGTATGAGTCCTGGGCTGAGGAGGGGTTAGAGTTCGGGGGTCACCATCATCATCATCATGGGCATGCCCCACAATGCGCAGGGCCTGCGTCAGAGGTGACGGCTGTGGGGTCACAGCGCTGTGGGATTGTCACGCGTTCACCCAGGAAATGCAGAGGGTGCACGGCGTGGCGAGTGGCGGACTCAGACTACGAGGCTGTGTGTAAAGTACCCAGGAAGTTGGCACGGAGTATTTCCTGCGACCCATCGACGAGGTATTCGGCTAGCGTGATTGGAGGAGGACGTGTGAGTGGAGGAGAAAGAGGAAGAGGAGGGGAGAAAGATCCAGAGGGGACCCCCTCCTCGCTCACGCTGATCCCTGGGTCCAACCCTCCGTCCCGGGCTTCGGACAGCGACCGTACCCTGGCGGCCCGAGCCAGCTCCAGCCCCTCTATAGACTCCCTGGACATAGCAGGAGAATCTAGCCAGCTGTCTGCAATCCAAGACGGGGACGAGGGGCTAGAGTATCCCCAGGACCCCCTGGATGATCGGTTCTCAGACTCCCTCTCCGAGGAGCACCACCTGGTGACTCCGCTGAGGTCGGCCTCCCGCCTCTCACTGGCCCTCTGCCTGGTCCAGAACTGTGTGTACCGGCCAGTCCAGAGCCCCAAGGGAAGCAGACTGCCTGTACTCAACAGACACAGCCCCAGAAGCGAAGGCTCCAAACTGAGCTTCCATGAGCCGGCCTTGGGTTTTCCGAATGGAGGTCCGAATGGAGAGGGGGAGATCCATGGCCATGTGCCCGACCTGGAGGCCCCTCTGATCAGGCAGAATGGAGGGATGGATGGGGGTCTGGACCTGGCTGAGATGGAAGAGCTGTGGGAGGATCTGTATCATGAGTGTCCTCCCCCACGTCCCCACCAGGTATAACACTGCAGCTCTCAAGTCAGCTCTGGGCATTGGTTCACCACTGGTCTGTAGTTTCTACTTTTCAGCTACTGGAGCAGTAGCTGAAATCAAATGAGTTTTTTTCTTTCGATAGGATGCTTTATTTTACTACAAACCTTTTGTAGCATATTTAATCATCTACAGATATACAAATCTCAGAATATGGAGACTATTCCAGAAGGTTAGTTAGTTATCTGTGAATTCAGCACACAGTGCAGTGCTCCCAACCGTGAGAACATTCCTTGATCTCACCATGCTCCTGGCTAATTAGCTGGATAATCCAGCTGTCTATCTACATCACTTTAACCTCTCCTACCCCCTCTCCCTCTCCAGAGAGGATGCACAGAGGATGTGCGCTCCAAGCACATGAATCAATGTGTGTGTGTGTGTGTGTGTGCGCGTGCATGTGTGTCTTGAGATCATTGTATGACTTGGGTGTCTATGTGCCTAGATGCACATCATACAATCCTTCAGATGTCTGTCTGTGTGTTGAAAGCAGTGAGGGATTCTCATGTAGAGCACTCAGGCCAGTCAGCCATACTAATGAATGTGTGTGCTCAGAGAGTGGAGCTGTCATGGTTGGCCTACCACAGAGGCACATTAACAAACATAGTATGATATTGTCATCTTCACAGTACAGATGTACTTAATTTGAGCCAGTTTGCTACAGCAGGAAAAGAATCCTGCAGCAGCAGGAAATTTGAATTATTAAGTGTATTGTAATTAATGGAAAACATTTTGTAGGGGTTGATACATTTTTAATTAGGGAAAATAGTCTGACATTTTAAAGCGGAAATTACAAGGGTTTTTAAATCTCGAATACACAACGAGTTTGCATTTCCTGCTGTGCATGACATTTCTCAGTAACAAAAGAGTGATCAAATTAAGATCCTACATCTGTAGCTTCAGCCATTTTGGCCTGCAAGTGCTTTTCAATGAGCTCTCATGAAGTAAGCCAAAATTCTGTCAAATAGTATGCCAAAATAGTAGATAATAATCAGTGTTTATTTGGTAGTTCAAAGCTGAGAAAGAAACTAGAACTTGGAAACCATATCAGATATCACATATGTAGATACATATGTAGGACCATCATTTGAGCCAGTTTGCTAAAGCAGGAAAATAATCATGCAGCAACAGGAAATGTGAATTATTATATGTATTATAATTTATGGACATTTTTGTAGAGAAGCCTTTTTAAACCTCAAATACACTACAGTGGGGGGAAAAAAGTATTTAGTCAGCCACCAATTGTGCAAGTTCTCCCACTTAAAAAGATGAGAGAGGCCTATAATTTTCATCATAGGTACGCGTCAACTATGACAGACAAATTGAAAATAAGTATTTGGTCACCTACAAACAAGCAAGATTTCTGGCTCTCACAGACCTGTAACTTCTTCTTTAAGAGGCTCCTCTGTCCTCCACTCGTTGCCTGTATTAATGGCACCTGTTTGAACTTGTTATCAGTATAAAAGACACCTGTCCACAACCTCAAACAGTCACACTCCAAACTCCACTATGGCCAAGACCAAAGAGCTGTCAAAGGACACCAGAAACAAAATGGTAGACCTACACCAGGCTGGGAAGACTGAATCTGCAATAGGTAAGCAGCTTGGTTTGAAGAAATCAACTGTGGGAGCAATTATTAGGAAATGGAAGACATACAAGACCACTGATAATCTCCCTCGATCTGGGGCTCCACGCAAGATCTCACCCCGTGGGGTCAAAATGATCACAAGAACGGTGAGCAAAAATCCCAGAACCACACGGGGGGACCTAGTGAATGACCTGCAGAGAGCTGGGATCAAAGTAACAAAGCCTACCATCAGTAACACACTACGCCGCCAGGGACTCAAATCCTGCAGTGCCAGACGTGTCCCCCTGCTTAAGCCAGTACATGTCCAGGCCCGTCTGAAGTTTGCTAGAGTGCATTTGGATGATCCAGAAGAGGATTGGGAGAATGTCATATGGTCAGATGAAACCAAAATAGAACTTTTTGGTAAAAACTCAACTCGTCGTGTTTGGAGGACAAAGAATGCTGAGTTGCATCCAAAGAACACCATACCTACTGTGAAGCATGGGGGTGGAAACATCATGCTTTGGGGCTGTTTTTCTGCAAAGGGACCAGGACGACTGATCCGTGTAAAGGAAAGAATGAATGGGGCCATGTATCGTGAGATTTTGAGTGAAAACCTCCTTCCATCAGCAAGGGCATTGAAGATGAAACGTGGCTGGGTCTTTCAGCATGACAATGATCCCAAACACACCGCCCGGGCAACGAAGGAGTGGCTTCGTAAGAAGCATTTCAAGGTCCTGGAGTGGCCTAGCCAGTCTCCAGATCTCAACCCCATAGAAAATCTTTGGAGGGAGTTGAAAGTCCGTGTTGCCCAGCGACAGCCCCAAAACATCACTGCTCTAGAGGAGATCTGCATGGAGGAATGGGCCAAAATACCAGCAACAGTGTGTGCAAACCTTGTGAAGACTTACAGAAAACGTTTGACCTGTGTCATTGCCAACAAAGGGTATATAACAAAGTATTGAGAAACTTTTGTTATTGACCAAATACTTATTTTCCACCATAATTTGCAAATAAATTCATTAAAAATCCTACAATGTGATTTTCTGGAGAAAAAAAATCTCATTTTGTCTGTCATAGTTGACGTGTACCTATGATGAAAATTACAGGCCTCTCTCATCTTTTTATTTGGGAGAACTTGCACAATTGGTGGCTGACTAAATACTTTTTTTCCCCACTGTACATGTTTTAAATGTCTCGCAACAGGGTGATCAAATTAAGATCATACATCTGTAGAACCTGAGGTGCTGTGTATGATCTATCTACACTGAGTATACCAAACATTAGGAACACCTTCATACACTTTTTGCCTTCAGAACAGCCTCAATTCAACAGGGCATGGACTCTACAGGGTTGTCGAAAGCATTCCACAGGGATGCTGGCCCATGTTGACTCCAATGTTTGCCACAGTTGGCTGGATGTGCTTTGGGTGGTGGACCATTCTTGATACACACAGGAAACTATTGAGCATGAAAAACCCAGCAGCGTTGCAGTTCTTGACACTAACCGGTGCGCCTGGCACCTACTACCATACCCCGTTCAAAGACACATTTTTTGTCTTGCCCATTCACCCTCTGAAAGGCACACACACACAATCATTGTCTCAATTGTCTCAAGGCTTAAAATTATTCTTTAACCTGTCTCCTCCCCTTCATCTACACTGATTGAAGTGGATTTAATAAGTGACATCAATAAGGGATCATAGCTTTCACCTGGTCAGTGTATGTCTTAATGTTTTGTATACTCAGTGTATATCCTCAAATTATTACTTGCATATAGCAGGTATTTGCCTTGGGGCTGCTACAGAAATCTGCTGACTGGTGAGAACTGTGTTGATAATCCAGGTACTCTTTCCATTATCAAGTTTCATCCCGGATTCTTAAAGCTGTAGCCCTGTACTTAAGCTCAATGTATTACTGCAAAAAATGTAATGTTACCTTGCAGTCTAACCAAGGTCCATGAAATGAAGACCAAACAGGGTATACAGAAGATATGTAGTATCCTCTGGAATAAAATGAAGGTTCATTGGGTGCTTTGGTACAGTAGCCCTATGCGCTCTGAAATCACAATCATCTCGACTCTAGCTCCTCTGTGAGCCTCAGTATAGACTACAGTCGGTGACAGAGATTCAGGCTGTGTCTGTGTGTGTCTGATTTAGGAGTATTCCTTAATCTGAATGTGATTTCAGGGCTCAGCCAGCCCCAGCCCTGTTCACTAAACTAGGTTAGCGCATGGGGAGACGTGGAATGGAGTGGCACCACTATTGGCCTATTTTCACAGCAGCAATAAGCCTTGGAGGCAGCAAGCCCTGATACTACCGCACAATGTCAGACCAGGCATCTGTCTCAATGCTGGTTGGCTAGTGGATGTCATTATATTTTAGCATGTACCATAGGCATATAACTACTAGAAATCATATAACTTTCTAATTCAAAGTAATTCTATTTCTATGGCATGTGCAGTATCTCTCACCGTGCTACTCAAATGGCCTAGACTATAGCTATACAGTATGTTTTTGGCTTGGGCCTGTAAGTATCTATAGTATGTACTGTAGCTCTTTGGACCTCTACTGTATATATACAGTATAAGGAGATTTTGTCAGCTCATAATAACAATCCACATACCACCACATACATCTAACCTATGTTCCCATTCTAACAGGGATTTCACTTATTCATATTACTTACGTGTGTGTTGTAGGATTTACTCCCGTAGTATAGTGTAAACCTATAAATATAGGATGTGAGTGCTTTGTGAGTGCTCACATGTAAATGCTTTAAGGGAGATGCTGACACACTGGTTATGTAAGTTACGTTAGGGGCACCACAGAGCACTTAACATACACACAGGAACATAGGGAGCTCTCAAGAGAATATCCTCAGGATGGATCTGCTTTTAACAACATACAAAGATGGGTGAACAGAACATTTGGTTTCAAAAGTACAGTCACCAACAACCCAGCTCAGTGCGTTGTTACTTTTCCTTATACAGATCTGTCCCTGTGTCTCTCAGGTCTGGCTAGAGCAGTTGGATAGGAATACTGATTCTTTCCCATAGTATTAATTTGTGAGAGAAGCTAGATTCGGTAAACGTGGACTGTAATGTGTGTGTGTTAACCCCTGTCTTTCTGTGTGTATTCCAGACTCTGATCGAGGAGCAGCAGAGCCAGTTGAACCAGTATGAGTGTGCAGCAGGTCAGTGTGTCAGTGAGCTGCAGAAGGCCCAGCTCCAGGTCCAGTCCCTGCAGACCAAGATCCACGAGAGCGAAGCCAACAACGCGGTACGGCTACAGAGAGACATTACCCATCTATACATCAAACACACACACACATGCACACACACACAAGCATGTGCACAGATGCACATGCACACAGCCTCTTTCATGTCCCTTAGTCTCTCTCTCTACTTACTCATCCTCTCTCTCTCTCTCTCTCTCTTTCCCTCCCTCCCTCTCCAGAAGTTGCAGGAGAAGCTCAGTGAGATGGAGTGTGAACTGCGTTCCATCCGCCAGGGAGCTCAGAACCAGGAGCGCACCATCCAATGCCTGACTGATTCTGTCAGTACCAAGGACAACGAGGTGTGTGTGGTCTACACTGAGGTTACATTGCTGCCCCAGAACCATTTGGGACGCAGCCAGGTGACTACATTTGAGTACACACTCAGTAGTGATTTGCAGAATATTCTCTATGTCCTCCTCAGGCCGAGGAGCTGTACCAGCTAATTGAGGGGCAGAACGCCACACTGTGTAAGCTGAGAGAGATGGCCCACCGCAACCAGATCACGCACACTCAGGTGAGACCTCACACACCCCAGACAGGTCCAGACAAGCACCCAGCAGCATACTAGTTAATAAAGAGCCATAATAACCCAACTGTTGATAGATAGATAGATAGATAGATAGATAGATAGACAGACAGACAGACAGACAGACAGACAGACAGACAGACAGACAGACAGACAGACAGACAGACAGACAGACAGACAGACAGACAGACAGACAGACAGACAGACAGACAGACAGACAGACAGACGACAGACAGACAGACAGACAGACAGACAGACAGACAGACAGACAGACAGACAGACAGACAGACAGACAGACAGACAGACAGACAGACAGACAGACAGACAGACAGACAGACAGACAGACAGACAGACAGACAGACAGACAGACAGACAGACAGACAGACAGACAGACAGACAGACAGACAGACAGACAGACAGACAGACAGACAGATAGATACTCCCTTTCTTGCCTCTTTCTCTATCTCCATGACCAGTCTAACCCCAGTGGTTTTTCATTGTTTGGTCCGCTCTACCAGGCTCCAGAGGGGGGCAGTGAGGGTGCGGCTTTAGCCCAGCTTCAGGGTGAGTTGGTGGGGTTACAGAGCTCTCTGTTCACCCTGGGTCTGGAGCTGGAGGCCAGTCAGAGAGCCCAGAGACAGAGCCAGAGACAGGCTGAGGACCTGAGCAGAGCTAAAGACAGACTCCAGTCTGACCTAAAGGAGGCACTGCAGCACAGGGAGGTCACCGACAAACACAACCAGGTGTGTGTGTGTGTGCTGCGTGTGTGTGGATGTGTTGGTGTGGGTGGGGTGTGTGTGTGTGTGTGTGCGTGAACAATCTGGACTCCTGTAGCAATGATGTAGGTGGTGCGTGTAACCTGTCCTCTGTCCCACTGTAGGACTTGAGCAGTGTCCTGGCTCAGTCTCGCTTTGAGCTGCAGGCTAAAGAGGCTCAGCTTAAGGAGAGCAAGGCAGAGAAACACACGGAGGTTCAGGAGAGAGACAGGCACATCACCCAGCTCAAACACTCCCTTCAGGACAAGGAGAGGCAGCTACAGGTAAGACACATAAACACACACACACACAAGCACACATGAACACACACACACACACACTAACCCTATCCCTCACCCTTTGTAGGAGTACTCTGAACTCCTGGAGTCAGCAGACAGCTCCAAACCCAGAGATGCTCTGCTGGACAGACTGAGAGAACGCATCAGAGACAGGGACAGAGCATTGGAGGTAAGAACACACACTTACTGGATGGATGGATGGATGGGTAGGTGGGTGGGTGGGTGGGCGAGTGGGTGCATACTAATAATGATTGATGTTCTCTTTCTCTGTCCAGCGGTCTATAGATGAGAAGTTCAGTGGTCTGGAGGAGAGGGAGGAGCAGGTGAGGAAACTACAGCTGGCCCTTAGAGAGAAGGAACGAGACCTGGAGAGACTGCGCTGTATACTGTCCAACAACGAGGAGACTATCACGGTACACACACAAACACAAACGCACACACTAAAGGAAGATACCTTGAGCAACCATGAGGATACACACTCTCTCACACACAGTACATCTATATACAGTGCATTCGGAAAGTATTCAGACAGCTTGACTTTTTCCACATTTTGTTACGTTACAGCCTTATTCAAAAATGGATTAAATAAATAACATTTCCTCATCAATCTACACACAATACCCCATCACGACAAGGCGAAAACAGTTTTTTTAGAAATTTTAGCAAATGTATTAAAATAAAAAACTGAAATACCTTATTTACGTAAGTATTCAGACCCTTTGATATGAGACTCGAAATTGAGCTCAGGTGCATGCTGTTTCCATTGATCATCCTTGAGATGTTTCTACAACTTAATTGGAGTCCACCTGTCTATATAAGATCCCACAGTTGACAGTGCATGTCAGTGCAAAAACCAAGCCATGAGGTCGAAGGAATTTGTCCGTAGAGCTCCGAGACAGGATTGTGTTGAAGCAAAGATCTGGGGTAGGGTACCAAAACATTTCTGCAGTATTGAAGGTCCCCAAGAACACAGTGGCCTCCATCATTCTTAAATGGAAAAAGTTTGGAACCACCAAGACTCTTCCTAGAGCTGGCCGTCCGGCCAAACTGAGCAATCGGGGGAGAAGGGCCTTTGTCAGGGAGGTGACCAAGAACCCGATGGTCACTCTGTGGAGATGGGAGAACCTTCCAGAAGGACAACCATCTCTGCAGCACTCCACCAATGAGGCCTTTATGGTAGAGTGGCCAGATGGAAGCCACTCCTCAGTAAAAAGGCACATGACAGCCTGCTTGGAGTTTTCCAAAAGGCACCTAAAGACTCTCAGACCATGAGAAACAAGCTTCTCTAGTCTGATTAAACCAAGATTGAACTCTTTGGCCTGAATGCCAAGCGACACGTCTGGAGGAAACCTGGCACCATCCCTACGGTGAAGCATGGTGGTGGCAGCATCATGCTGTGGGGATGTTTTTCAGTGGCAGGGGCTGGGAGACTAGTCAGGATCGAGGGAATAATGAACGGAGCAAAGTACATAGAGATCCTTGATGAAAACCTGCGCTCAGGACCTCAGACTGGGGCGAAGGTTCACCATCCAACAGGACAACCCTAAGCACACAGCCCAGACAACGCAGGAGTGGCTTCGGGACAAGTCTCTGAATGTCCTTGAGTGGCCCAGCCAGAGCCCGGACTTCAACCCGATCGAACATCTATGGAGAGACCTGAAAATAGCTGTGCAGCGACGCTCCCCATCCAAGAGAAACTCCCCAAATACAGGTGTGCCAAGCTTGTAGCGTCATACCCAAGAAGACCCGAGGCTGTAATCACTGCCAAAGGTGCTTCAACAAAGTACTGAGTAAAGGGTCTGAATACTTATGTAAATGTAATATTTCAATTTTTTTAATTTGATAACTTAGCAAAAAAAATGTTTTGCTTTGTCATTAAAAAAAGCTATTTAATCAATTTTTGAATAAGGCTGTAACGTAACAAAATGTGGAAAAAGTCAAGGGGTCTGAATACTTTCCGAAAGCACTGTACATTGATATGTTTTTACTATTTGGTGGTCCTCTGTAGCTCAGCTGGTAGAGCACGGCGCTTGTAACGCCAAGGTAGTGGGTTCGATCCCCGGGACCACCCATACACAAAAAATGTATGCACGCATGACTGTAAGTCGCTTTGGATAAAAGCGTCTGCTAAATGGCATATTATTATTATTCTATTTGTGTGTGATAGAATCTGGATGCGTTGGTGCGGAGTAAGGAGCTGGATGTGGAGCAGGCAGCAGAAGCTCACAGGAACCTACAGTGGCTTCCAGCAGCAGGGCGAGGAGAGAGAGAAGAACACTCTGAGAGAGAGAGACACGCTCATCAGCCAGCTACAGACTGCCCTGCAGACACGCAGCCAGGAGACACAGGTAAACACACACACAAACACACACACACGCAAAAACACACACAAATGCGAACACATACGCAAACACGCGCTTGCTAAACTAAATCAACAGCTCAGATAGGTCACACTAGGAAGGACTGGCTATACCACCAGTTTGCATTCTGTTTGGTCTTGTAACCAAAGGACACAAGTTTCTCCTCTAGTTTCTCTCCATTGTTGAAGTTTTTCATTGTTGGCTGAAATTAATGACTTGCAATGCTTTAACAACCTCAAACTAGTCCAATGACGAAAAACCTGCTCTTATTTCTGACCCTTACAAAAACGACAGATATACTGACGTGTGTGTTTGTTTTTCTCCTATGTGTGTGTAGGTCCTCACGGCAGCCCTCCTGGCTAAGGTCCAGGCAGGCCCTAGTGGGGTGGTGGAGGAGCTGAAGACTCGCCTCACGCTGAAGGAGAAACTGTTTCAGGAACTGCTGTCAGACCGCAGCCGCCAGAGCCACGAACACCAAGCACAGGTCCAGGATCTGCTCAGCACCATCAGCACTAAGGACCAGTACATACAGGTACCAACACACACACACACCGCTGATCTAGGACCTGTCTCTGAGAATATGAATGATGAGTTTATGTCAGCTGTACAGTGTACTCAGCCCAACATCACTAAGAAAAATCCAATAGTCTATTATAGAAATGGAAATATATACAATAGAATGGACATAAGCATATAAAGTGACAGTCGATTTCAGATTCTCTCTTCTCTGCCTCTCTCTCTCTCCCCCTCCGTCTACCTCCCTCTCCCCCTCTCTCCCTCCCACCTCCTCTCTCAGGACTGCACTGATAGGCTCTCTCAAGTTATTGGCGAGCGGACAGGCCAGCTTCAGGAGCTGCGCAGGCAGCTGTCGTCACAGGAACGGGAGATGGGCGAGCTGCGGAGGGATAGAGAGAAGGAGAGAGTGGAAGAGGCAGAGCGACTGCAGAACCTGCTGAAGGAGAAAGAGGCTTTTATCCAGGTGAATTCTGGGACACTGGATGACTACACAAACACACACACACACACACACACACACACACACACACACACACACACACACACACACAACACCACACACACACACACACACACACACACACACACTCTAACACTCCTACTCCTCCCCACCCAGAGTCTGATGCAGGGCCAGGAGGAGAGCATGGAGCCCTCCACACCAGAGGGGGCAGCAGAGGTACAGGTCATTCAGGAGGAGCTGCAGCTGGTCAGTAAGAAGGAGAAGGAGGCTCAGCTGGAGCTTTCAGCCCTGCGTTCAGCTCTAGCTCAGGCCCAGGAGCAGGCCCAGAAGCAGGGGGATAAATTTAAGATCCTGGCCCCAGGAGTAGTAGCAAGGGAGCCCTCCAACACTGACCACCAGGTATCCCTCTCCGCCGAAATGTTTTATTGTCTACAACATCCTACTGAGTGGAGTGTGTGTTTATAATGTTTCTCTCTCTCTCTCTCTCTCTCTCTCTCTCTCTCTCTCTCTCTCTCTCCTCTCCTCTCCTCTCTCTCTCTCTCTCTCTCTCTCTCCCTCCCTCTCCCTCTCTCTGTCTCTTCCTCCCCCTTTCCTTTTCCCAACCTCTCTGTCAGAGTGTGTTGGAGCAGTTGGTCAGTGAGTACCACAGGCTGAACGATGCTCTGAGGGCAGAGAAGAGGCTGTACCAGAGTCTGAGCCACATCCAGGCCAGAGGAAACAGGTAGGAGATGGCCACAGAGGCCTTCACTGAGGCCAAGAATACACACATCTGGGTACCTACACATACACACACCTGGGTGCCTACAAATACACACATTTGTGGACAGTGTAAGCTACAGTAGTAGGCTAGTAACAACTGTTAAAACCACATAATCAGTGTTTGAGGATGTTTGTGTTTGTGTGTGGTGTCATTGCCCCTCTCTCAGCAGCTCAGAGAAGACCCAGGCCCTGCACACAGAACTAGACTCTGTTCAGGCACTCCGAGGGCAGCTGGAGGAGGTCCTAGCCAGGACCCGGAAAACCGCCCTGGCACTGGAGAGGGCAGCTAAGAGGCAGTCTGACTTTGGAGGTGGGGACGGGCCGGGACCGGCCTCCAGGGCTACCGGGGGCTCTGTTACTAATTCTGTAGGATATTCTGTCTAGCCACTGCACCAATGAGTCAGACAAATACACTGCAGGTAGAAGTTGCCCTTAGGTGCAGATCTAGGATCAGTTTACATTAACCTAAATCCTAACCTTAACCATTAGGGGGAAACACTCAATACTGACATAAGATCAGTGACTATGGGCAACTTTGTTCCTCTTTGGATGACACAGACACACCACACAATAACTAATGCCTGGGGTGGTTTTAGTTACTGTATGAAGTCTCAATGTGCAACTCAGATGTTTTATTATTATTTATTATTATTAATATATTCTATGAGTGTGTTTTGAATTGTTGTGTTTATATTGTTTTTGCCAACTGCCTGCGTATTGCTTTGCAGTGTGACTGTTCTGTAATGCCATTTGTATTGTACTGTGTCTCTCGGTGTCAATGTTTCCAGCCATACGGTGATGTGATGTGTTGTGTAGACAGTCCAGCTCATGCCTTACAGTAAATGTCTTCAAGTCATCCATCTTATTATTTAATGCCATCTTTGTGTATGCAGGCCCAAGATATATTAGCTGAAATTAAAAGGATGGCCAAGTAGTTAGAATTCCTCCGCAGATCTCCATTCCATGGGGTTTAAAGATCCTATAATTTGCTCATAGTTATTCTTAGTCTCAAAGACGATGCATGGACCACTAGATGAGTAGTCAATAGTGTTTGCTTAACAAAGTAAGAATCCTTATTGAAGTTATTTGTTTTTGCTGAACTAAAACCTTTGCGGTTATCCCTCTTCGATAACCCACAACCCAAGTATCTTAGATAGCAGGCCTATTTGTTACATTTATTGATAGACTTTGTAACGATCACATACAATGTGATAAAAATATGATAATAAGATGATACCTAGTATCATTCAAGATTCGATTGGTCCAGATTGATTAGGTTTTAAGGATTTTGGGATTAGTGAAGGAATTTTCCATTAAGATTTGGTGATGAAACCAAAAAGAAATTGTACTTTGAAATGGAAAGTAAATAAAAGATTTCCTGTTTTTTGTTGAAAGGATTTTTTCTTTTTAATTGGGGACTGGATTCCCTCTCCCTTTTTGCCCCCTTATGAAATACAACAAACCCTCCCCTCTCCCCCAACTAGTAGAGAACAGATAATGGGTGTTCTGTCTATCCCTGAGGTGAAAGAAAGAGTAAGTGGTAATCATGTACTTTTCTCATCGCTGTCTGAAGAGTCACCTCTGTCTCTACACTCTGTCGCCATAGTCTCTCAGTGTTCAAAACACACACTCTTAACCATTACCGTCCACAAACACTTGCATACACACACACACATACTCTCACCCGCTCACACATATTCTAAGAATATCCTTATAAGACACATTTTCTGTCACAGAAGAAAGAGATCTCTCATGTTTGAGGGAGTTACACTACCATTTCTCTGTCATTAACCTATGACTTCTCTGCCACATGCATGGCATCCCAGCATGTTGTTTGCATGGCTAGTTTGCTGTGATGTGTATTGACAACTTTGACACAGATAAGTCACTTACTATTGAGTAGAAGAATATATTATACTATACTGATTATGTTATGTGCCTCACACTAGTTATGATTTCCAATCATTATATCTAACAGGATAGATTATATAAGGCATATACAAATAGTGAATTTTGCACATCACATGACGTCTGCACGGCCTGGATCTGTGTGCTTCCTGTGTGTCTCACCATCACCACCAGAGGCTCTGGTAAGGACACAGGGAGATGTCCGCCAATGAAAATAACTAGTTCATATGGTCTATATGTCATTATTTAACTGTAATATCATGTAATTATATAGCATTCAACTATAATTACATGAATATACAATTTCATTATGCGCTTAGATAGATGCTTCTATTGTACATACAGGTAACTGCCAAAATAAAGGAAACACGAGTAAATGAGGGATACGAAGTATATTGAAAGCAGGTGCTTCCACACAGGTGTGGTTCCTGAGTTAATTAAGCAATTAACATCCCATGTTTAGGGTTGTTTATAAAAATGCCCAGTTGCCCATTATTTTGGCTACCATAGCTAGAAGAGATCTCAGTGACTTTGAAAGAGGGGTCTCAAATGAGCATAGGGAGTTTAAAGGTGGGTGTGGGTGTGTGTCTCAGTTACCAGATCTCAACCCAATTGAACGCGTATGGGAGATTCTGGCGCGGCACCTGAGATAGCGTTTTCCACCAGCATGAACAAAGCACCAAATGATGGAATCTCTCGAGGAAGAATGGTGTTGCATCCTTCCAATAGAGTTCCAGACACTTGTAGAATCTATGCCAAGGCGCATTAAAGCTGTTCTGGTGGCTCGTGGTGGCCCAACACCCTAATTAGACACTATGTTGGTGTTTTCATTCTTTTGGCAGTTACCTGTATGAACTCCCTTCAGACAAATTGCTCTGTCATAGTGTAGGACACACCAGCTCTGTCTAAAATGGCCACGGTCTGCTGTTCTGTAGGCTGAATAAACAGAGCCTTGCAGTGAGGGAGTTTGTCTTATACTTGATCTGGTCTTCCTTGTCCCTCAGCCAACTTTCCCCTTGTCCCCCTGTCCCCCTCATAGCTTTTGACCCACCCCATCCTAATACACAATGCCAAGGGTTATAAGTGAGTTATAGGCAGTTCTAAAAAATCGAACCAAGAATATTCTCTCCCATAAGACTCTTCCATAGATCATGAACAGAAGATTTCATTATCCTCCTTCTAATCGGTGGCAGATGTGCGTTTCTATGCAAAGAATGCACACAGTAGGGTCGTTCCACGAAATGAGTGCCAGAATTCAGCATTTTGACATGTCTCTCTGTCAACCCAGTGTCACCTCTAGGAAGATTTTAACCCACTTAACCCCCAAATTCTCAAAGTTTCACCATCATTGTAAACCCCTAGTTATTTTTTTGCTTTGACTAAGTCATTTCTGGAATATTATTTATTTCATGTGATTAATGATTCATTTACAGTGGCTTGCGAAAGTATTCACCCCCCTTGTCATTTTTCCTATTTTGTTGCCTTACAACCTGGAATTAAAATTGATTTTTGGGGGGGTGAATTTGTATCATTTGATTTACACAACATGCCTACCACTTTGAAGATGCAAAATATGTTTTATTGTGAAACAAACAAGAAATAAGACAAAAAAACGGAAAACTTGAGCGTCCATAACTATTCATTGTCCTGCTGGAAGGTGAACCTCCGTCCCAGTCTCAAATCTCTGGAAGACTGAAACAGGTTTCCCCTCAAGAATTTCCCTGTATTTAGTGCCATCCATCATTCCTTAAATTCTGACCAGTTTCCCAGTCCCTGCCGATGAAAAACATCCCCACAGCATGATGCTGCCACCACCATGCTGCACTGTGGGGATGGTGTTCTCGGGTTGATGAGAGGTGTTGGGTTTGCGCCAGACATAGCGTTTTCCTTGATGGCCAAAAAGCTAAATTTTAGTCTCATCTGACCAGAGTACCTTCTTCCATATGCTTGGGGAGTCTCCCACATGCCTTTTGGCGAACACCAAACGTGTTTGCTTATTTTTTTCTTTAAGCAATGGCTTTTTTCTGGCCACTCTTCCGTAAAGCCCAGCTCTGTGGAGTGTACGGCTTAAAGTGGTCCTATGGACAGATACTCCAATCTCTGCTGTGGAGCTTTGCAGCTCCTTCAGGGTTATCTTTGGTGTCTTTGTTGCCTCTCTGATTAATGCCCTCCTTGCCTGGTCCATGAGTTTTGGTGGGCGGCCCTCTCTTGGCAGGTTTGTTGTGGTGCCATATTCTTTCCATTTTTTAATAATGGATTCAATGGTGCTCCGTGGGATGTTCAAGGTTTCGGATATTTTTTTTATAACCCAAACCTGATCTGTACTTCTCCACAACTTTGTCCCTGACCTGTTTGGAGAGCTCCTTGGTCTTCAAGGTACCGCTTGCTTGGTGGTGCCCCTTGCTTAGTGGTGTTGCAGACTCTGGGGCCTTTCAGAACAGGTGTATATATAATGAAATCATGAGACACTTAGATTGCACACAGATGGACTTTATTTAACTAATTATGTGACTTCTGAAGGTAGTTGGTTGCACCAGATCTTATTTAGGGACTTCGTAGCAAAGGGGTTGAATACTTATGCACGCACCACTTTTCCGTTATTTATCTTTTAGAATTTTTTTAAACAAGTTTTTAATTTTTTTTTACTTCACCAATTTGGACTATTTTTTGTATGTCCATTACATGAAATCCAAATAAAAATCCATTTAAATTACAGGTTGTAATGCAACAAAATAGGAAAAACGCCAAGGGGGATGAATACTTTTGCAAGGCACTGTACGTCTGTCCCTCATTTAAAGTCATATAATTGAATTGTCATTTTAATATGGTTAAACTATTCTTTTTTAAATACTGAAAAAAAAGAAGCATTGAACATCTAATTGTCAAATCATAGCGTAAAAGTAGTTCTACTCTTTTTGGCCATTTTCTGGTGTTTTTCGGTGCAAAACTGAGCGAGCTTGCAACACACAACAAGCTTCCATTCCCTCTGTCACAATGGGATGTATGACTGATTTAAGAAGAAATCATCAACCCTGTTACAGTCAACCCTGTTACTTTATTTGGCACTTAATAGGCACTTACTATAGTATTTTTTTTATTTAACCTCTTGAGATGGAAAAAATATATATATGAAGTTGAACATGCACTCTTTATGACAGAATGTTAAAAATAGATATTTGTGGTTGTTATTACTTCATGCCTCATAGCGCCACAGAGAGGGAGAGTGTGTGTATGTGCGTTTTGTGTGTGTGTGTGTGTGAGTCCATATCCCCAGCACAGAGTGAACACACACACACACACACTACAGGGTTGGGCAGAAGACAGAGGGGCTGTCCTGTCCGCGGCTGGGCCAGGCTCAATGTGTGTGTTTGGTGTGTGTTTGGCTGTCTACTCCTGACATAACATTTGATTCAGACCAGGGAAAGAGAGAAGGGGAGAGAGAGAGGTAGAGAAAGAGGGAGGAAGAAAAATAGTTTGAGGGAGAGAGTGGTAGAGTGTTGGTAGGGGAGAGGTTGAGAGACAAAGTGAGGCATGGGAGAAAAGAAGGACAAGGAAGTGTCTGATCTGATCGGTTGGCTGTTGTGTTTTCAGAGCTCAGCACGGAGGAAGAGGAGGAGGGAGATGATGAAGAGGGCAGCACTGATGAGTTCTCAGACAGTATCGAAGACGATGAGGAGAAACTGACTGCCAAAAGCCTGGCCTCCACTAAGGTACATGTGACTTTTTACCTTTAAATCTTAAATTGTACACTAGCCTTGTGCCTCTCATCGTAGTCTCTCTAGACAGACTGGTTGCCTCCCACAAGGTACCAATGTTCCAGTACCAATGTTCCAGTGTTGTTGCCTTAGGTATGGTATTTCCAACACTTCTCTCATCCCCTTGTACTTTAGAGCTTAATGTTGACAATCTTCCAACCTGGGTGCCAGACTGTTTCTGTATTCAACAACGCTGCATTGTTCCCTTGCCAAATAAGACAATAACAAAGCAGTTAGCTTAAGCAGACGCAGACCAGTACCCAGACTAACAAGTCCTTTTTCATGTTATGAAACTGTAATTCTGTTAACCCTCTCTTTAACTCTCTTTTCTCTCTTTCTTAACCAGAATGCTGGAATGGCCTGTGAGCAGGGGGTGCTGTCTGGAGGACCTGTGAGTGGAGCACTGTCCCAGGGGGCCGAGGGGCAGGTGAAGCAGCTGGACTGAACAGAAGAGGGCACTAGAAGAAGAACTGGAGGAGATGAGAACACAGCTGGAGACCACCGGCTGCTCCTCCCTAGCCCAGATGAGGTATGTACCTACACAGTACCCACTCACCTACTTACCTCAGTATCTACTAGTAGCACACATTAAATGGTCTATACTGTAGCCCTAGCCCAGATCATGTACAACATCTACCTACTAGAAGCACTGTCAAAGGCTCACAGTCTGAATGTCATTGCAGTAGTTGTTGTAGTGAATTAATTCATGAATTACATTTGATTTTTGGCGGCCCATCCCATCCCAGTTGGTTGGCCCATCCCTTACGGGATTAATTGACACACAAACAAACATTACATGATACAACATTACAATGATTCACAGTGATAATTCGTCCGGTGTTCTGTACAGTGCTCTCCGCATATAAAGAATGAAAAATATCAATACATAATAGTGGATAAGGTTATCCAAGCAATTACAATAACCCTTAAGCAGTGTAGTTGTTGTTATTAATACTGAATCCAATGGTTTACTTTCCATCTCTTGCAGGAGTACACTGCTGCGGCTGCAACAAGAGAATGAGGCCCTGAAAGAGAACCAAGGGGGAGTAGAGGGTCTAGGAGAGCTGGAAGATCCAACAGACATGTGCCAAGGATGGCAACAGGAAGAGGAGGAGGAGATGGAGGAAGAGGAAGAGGTACTACCAGCAGTGGTACCCACCCAGGGCAAGCGAGGCCCCCCAGCATTACGGCTGAGAGAGGGAAGGGGAAAGAGACAGTGTACCAGACCTCACTCCTTAGACCTGGGAACTCTTCTGTCCCACCGTCAGCCAGACCACACAGAGAAGGTAAAGATACACTCCTCTACCCTAAACCAGTGTTTGCCGGAATAGTGTTAACATCTCACTCTCTTTATCGTTCTACATTTTCATCTTACTCTCTGTCTCTCTCTATCTCGTTCTCTCTCCCTCTCTTCCCTTACATTCTCTCTCTCTCTCTCTCTCTCTCTCTCTCTCTCTCTCTCCCTCCCTCCCTCCCTCTATCGATCTTTCCCTATCTCTGTCCCCTGCACCTTATCTATCCTCCCTTTCTCTCCCTCTCTCTCTGTGTCTACTTCCCTCCCCCTCTCTCCTCATATCTCTGTGTTGGTGTAGCTATAGCAGTCTATGTAGGGATGTTTTCTTAACCTTGGGATAGTTTATATAAGCAGCACGACTGACTCTGGGCAGGCAGCCGCTGCTCCTGGGTTTCAGGCAAGAGGAAAGGAGTGTTCTGTGTTTCTGCATGTGCTTCCGGAAATACGACACAAGGACATATTAAAACTTCTTATATCTGCTATACATAATAAAAAGGTTTCTGACCTCTGTTTGCTGCTTCCATTATCTTTATTTTAGCTACTGATATAACAACATTTCAACCATTATGGTTTAAGCTCAACCATTATGGTTTACGCTAGTTAGGTTACTCTTGTAAAAGTGAATCAGCAGGCATTGTTCTTTTTTTGTATCTCATGCTGAGTTCATAACTAAGTGGGAAGGTGTAAATTACCAGTTGTGAAGTCGTAAATACCAGTTGGATGCATTAAAATGCTTTGAACTTGTTTAGAAACGCTGATTGGCTAATGGACAACAAGCCGTGTCAACCATAAACTAAAAGTACAGCTATCATGCTTGTAATTAAATGTTCAAAAATCAGATTAATATATTGCTTTTTATAAATAATGTTTGGTTGTTACATTTAACTGCCTGTTATGAAGATATTTCTTTAGTAGGTGACGTCAGAGGTCAGCATGTGGGAGAAGTCGGAGCTCAGGGATTATAGACGAGTTTCCCACCAGTTGGAGGGGCATTCAAGTGGATTTGGCCTTGTCTTGATTCCTATAGGAGGCGGAGTCTGATGATGTCACTGGTGATGTGGGCGGGTTCTGGCAGCATGTGGAGGTGGGTCTCCGTGAGCAGGTGGTACGTCTGCGTTCTGATTTAGCGCTGAACAGACAGGAGAGCCGAGAGCTGCAGGAGAGACTCATGGTGTCTGAGGCCACGGTCCACGCACAGGCTGAACAACTCAAGGACTACAGGGAACTACTGAGTGAGTCATCATACATATGCCGAAAACATACACGCATACCACAGGAAGCTGCTACGGAGAAGACGGCTCATAATAATAGCTGGAAAGAACACATTTAAATACAGTGTAGCTGATTAACTTAATTGAATCACTCTATGTAATTTACTCAATGGTTTGAGTAATGGTTCTCACGCACTCTCTCTCAGCGGAGACATCAGTTGAGCAGGACAGTAAGCAGGTCCAGGTGGACCTACAGGACCTGGGCTACGAGACGTGTGGTCGTAGTGAGAATGAGGCAGAGAGAGAGGACGTCAGCAGCCCAGGTAACTTAGCTGTGTCTTTCCTTTTTTTGTCCAGTCCAGTCTCGCCTGTCTTTTCTCTCACCCCTGTCTTATTTTGTGCTTCTCTCACCTTTCACCTCACTTACAATGTCACCTCTCACTGCTTTTATCTCACTTTGTCACTTGAGACATCTCAAACTCACCATATAGTACCTACTTTACTTCTCACACACACCTCACCTGTCACTACCTTACCTGTGTCGGGTGTGATGATCTATACAACTTGTTAGCCTCTTTCTGTATCGCTCCTCCCTCAGAGTTTGATGATCTGGAGATGTGTACGTTACTGAGCCACCAGCAGGACTATGAGCATGCTGGGGTTTGGTTCCATGGTGATGTGGGTGTGGGTGGAGCTTATGAAGAAGGGGCGGAGTCGGGGACAGGCTCTCTACAGCAATTGGTCCAGGACCTGCGTTCTCAGCTGACCCGCTGTCACAAGGTGATTCGTGAGTTGCAGCTACGTGTGCGTTCACTATCCACCACCAGCGACTACACATCCAGTCTGGAACGCACCCCGCGCAAGGTACGTCATGTACATACAAGATCTGATTGATTGATTGATTATTGATTGATCAGTTGATTGATTGCTTCTGTGTCTTGTTCGCTTGTTGGTTTATGGGCTGATATGAAATTTTCCATGACAATTCAGTATTTTCTCTCCTCTCTCCTCTCTCCTCTCTCCTCTCCATCAGGTGAACTGGGCATTCGAGGCCTCCCCAGCCCCCAGCGGTGTGGAAGAGGATGAGGGCTGGATGTCCGACAGCCTGGGGCCTCGCATGGAACCCAAGCCCAGCCGGGAGCTGCGAGAGCTGGTGTCCCGAGTGGCCTCACTGGAGGCCCAACTCAAGAGCTCCAGGCTGGAGGGGAAAGGAGGGGTGGTGGAGGAGGGGAAGTGTGCTACCTGGCCCGGGTGAGTGGAAAAATAGAGAGAGGAAATTAAGGAAGGAAATAATGATGATATTGACTATGATGATGACTATGATAACAATGAAAATGGTGATGATGACGATGGGTGCTCTGGGTCTTTTATGTCTTGACCCCTCCCTTTCCTCCCTCTCTGCACAGGAAGTACAACACTCTGATTCAGGCACAGGCCAGGGAGTTGTCCCACCTGCGTCAGAAGATGAGGGAGGGCCGCGGAGTGTGTCACATCCTCACACAGCACCTGGGAGACACCACCAAGGTATGACACTCTGACGACCTCTCCACAGATTAGGACATTATGTACCACTTCGACAGTGATTGAATCAAATAAATGTAATTGAAATAAAAAATGGTTTTATTGAACTATTAACTGAATGTAATTGATTCGATAGACGTTTGAGGAGCTGCTGCGTGCCAACGACATTGACTACTACATGGGCCAGAGCTTCAGAGAGCAGTTGGCACAGAGCACTGCCCTGGCACAACGAGTGGGCACCAAGATCAGTGGGCGTGAGTGTGGACACACACACACACAAACATATGCAGACACACACATACACACGGGCACACACACAGACACAGACAAACACACACATTCCCTGATCTCCTGTCCTTCTGTCCTCCCTTTCCTCTCCACTATTCCTTCTCTCTCCTCAGGTGACCGTGCTGAGCTCCATGATGATAAGATGGGCCATGAGCTGCTTGCTTTACGGTGGGTTTTATGTCCTAATGATGTGTCTCCATTTGAAAGGGGTATTCCATTCACCTACAGTGTACTCTCTCCCGTTATGCAGCTGGCAGGGGAAGAGATCAACAGTCCGAGCCTCTGCCAGACACGGGTGTGTTTCACCTGTACATGCTTAGTCATTAGAAGTCACATGCTCACATGAATAATCTTGCCTACGTCATAGGAACATGGAGGTTTCCTTGGGGTTTTCCCATGGTTCACTTCCTTGGGTTGTGTGTTTGCAAGAAGTTTATTTAGTACTATAGATATGGATCTTCAATGTACCTACAATGTGCATAGAGATTCTGTTTGAGAAAATAATGCTTATAACTAGGATGGGTGTGTGTCAGTCTGTTTCTCCTTTATACAATGGCTTGGCAATGATATGGTATTGTTGATCCCAGAAGTCACATTGTTGAAATATCAAAGACCAAGACCCCCAATATCAAAGACCAAGACCCCAGACATTCTCAATCCGGCTGTGTGTCTAAAAGCCTGTCAGGCAAAGTTAGCTCCCAACTAGCTTTGTTGTGGTGTTTACTAATTAGCATGTAGATGATGAAGCTGTCAAGGTTTAGGGCTGTTACGGTGACCGTATTAACGCCAGACCGGCGGTCACGAGTCATGATGGCAGTCAAATTCCACGTGACCGTTTAGTCACGGTAATTAGGCTTCTCCAAGCGCTGATGCTGCTGATGGTCATTAGTAGCCTACCAAACTTGCTAACTGCCTGGTACCCCGCACTCTATTGTCCCTCTAATCACTCTGACATCAATGCAAATGTAATCGAAAATCGAATCAAACACTTGCTGATGTTGCAACATTTCTATAGGCTATACAATTGCATGAGAAAACAGAGTGATGGCCTCTATTAAAAAGAGGAGGATCCCATCAGCTTTCTTTAGGCTTACTATATTTATTTATCAACTTTCCTAATATTAAGCACATTGCTTCTCTTTAAAACAGGAGTATAGCCTACCTGGCGTCCTCCATTCGCTATTTAAGTGCATAGATGACATGTATTTTTTTCCGCTGCCCCTTCCATTCGCTATTTAAGTGCACAGATGACATGTATTTTTTCCGCTGCCCCTGCATGATAATGGTCCATTCTAAATTAAAACAAATTTCACACATATATTATTTAGTATATGTAAAGACAAGATTAAATCAAGAATAGTGTGATGGGTGACAATATTAGCCTATCACTTGTGAATTATACACTGCTCAAAAAAATTAAGGGAACACTAAAATAACACATCCTAGATCTGAATGAATGAAATAATCTTATTAAATACTTTTTTCTTTACATAGTTGAATGTGCTGATAACAAAATCACACAAAAATTATCAATGGAAATCTAATTTATCAACCCGATTTGGAGTCACCCTCAAAATTAAAGTGGAAAACCACCCTACAGGCTGATCCAACTTTGATGTAATGTCCTTAAAACAAGTCAAAATGAGGCTCAGTAGTGTGTGTGGCCTCCACGTGCCTGTATGACCTCCCTACAATGCCTGGGCATGCTCCTGATGAGGTGGCGGATGGTCTCCTGAGGGATCTCCTCCCAGACCTGGACTAAAGCATCCGCCAACTCCTGGACAGTCTGTGGTGCAACGTGGCATTGGTGGATGGAGCGAGACATGATGTCCCAGATGTGCTCAATTGGATTCAGGTCTGGGGAACGGGCGGGCCAGTCCATGGCATCAATGCCTTCCTCTTGCAGGAACTGCTGACACACTCCAGCCACATGAGGTCTAGCATTGTCTTGCATTAGGAGGAACCCAGGGCCAACCGCACCAGCATATGGTCTCACAAGGGGTCTGAGGATCTCATCTCGGTACCTAATGGCAGTCAGGCTACCTCTGGCGAGCACATGGAGGGCTGTGCGGCCCCCCAAAGAAATGCCACCCCACACCATGACTGACCCACCGCCAAACCGGTCATGCTGGAGGATGTTGCAGGCAGCAGAACGTTCTCCACGGCGTCTCCAGACTCTGTCACGTCTGTCACGTGCTCAGTGTGAACCTGCTTTCATCTGTGAAGAGCACAGGGCGCCAGTGCTGTAAGCACAACCCCCACCTGTGGACGTCGGGCCCTCATACCACCCTCATGGAGTCTGTTTCTGACCGTTTGAGCAGACACATGCACATTTGTGGCCTGCTGGAGGTCATTTTGCAGGGCTCTGGCAGTGCTCCTCCTGCTCCTCCTTGCACAAAGGCAGAGGTAGCAGTCCTGCTGCTGGGTTGTTGCCCTCCTACGGCCTCCTTCACTTCTCCTGATGTACTGGCCTGTCTCCTGGTAGCGCCTCCATGCTCACATCGCTGACAGACACAGCAAACCTTCTTGCCACAGCTCACATTGATGTGCCATCCTGGATGAGCTGCACTACCTGAGCCACTTGTGTGGGTTGTAGACTCCGTCTCATGCTACCACTAGAGTGAAAGCACCGCCAGCATTCAACAGTGACCAAAACATCAGCCAGGAAGCATAGGAACTGAGAAGTGGTCTGTGGTCACCACCTGCAAAACCAGTCCTTTATTGGGGGTGTCTTGCTAATTGCCTATAATTTCCACCTGTTGTCTATTCCATTTGCACAACAGTATGTGAAATGTATTGTCAATCAGTGTTGCTTCCTAAGTGGACAGTTTGATTTCACAGAAGTGTGATTGACTTGGAGTTACATTGTGTTGTTTAAGTGTTCCCTTTATTTTTTTGAGCAGTGTATATTATCACTTGTGAATGATGCCCAGCTTAAGGCAAACAGTGCATGCTTTTTTTGTGTGTGACTTTTTCAAATCATAGTTGCACACCTCATGTAGCCTAGCCCATTGGCCTATGTGTATTGATAAGGTTTGTATCACAACTAAAGTGGCCAAATAACTTCTTAAAATGAAGCAAGAGATGTAGAGCCTAACTGGCATACATACACAGCGCGTGAGTTTAAAGTTTGGGGTAGATCATTTTCACCATAAAAATGCACCTTTATAATAAAAGCATTACATGCATAATCACATTTATGGTCACTTTTGAGAATGGTGTTTTACTGCTAATGGAACATATATGCTTGTAGCCTAGTGCTGTGTGCGCATTGCTGCGCTTATAATGTGAAGAAATAGCCTAATAGTTGATCAACATTTTAAGCTAAACGTTCTCATCTGTTGCATCAGGCTCATTGCTTAAAACAGGTTTTTTGATGCTAGTGGTTGTATTAATTTGGGATCTATCACATCCCCCAACTGTCCCAGACTATGTTTGGAATATTTATTTCTTGCACAGAATAGAATAGGTCAACCTTTGTACTATGGGGGGTAGTAGATTGACATAGGCTAGTGCTTTTGTTGTTCGTTAGGCCTACTCATCGTTGGCTGACGAAAACTAAATGTGGACAGCTCTTCCAATATGTTCAATATGCGCCTCAGAATTGGATAAGGATGCGTGCAGTTGCATCCCCGATGTGTTTGTCTTCACTTGTAGCCTGTGAGAAAGACCCGATCAAGTGACTGAGAGCCATGTGAGTGAGAGGTGCTTCCGCACGCAGCTGGGAGAAGGGAATTATAATTATTATATTCAGCCCAAGGGCACAACAGCCACAGGCCGCAAAAGGCATGGATTTTTTTAGGGGGCATTACGGCCACACAAAGGGGATGCAGCTGGGAAATTCGAGGCATTATCAAGTGCTTGTCAAATTGTGAATGAGAGACTGATGAAGTATGTGTACAGCCTGCAAAAAAAAAACAAAGCAGAGCTCATGCCTTTCATGCATTAGAGTCGCATCATGCAGCTTTAGAATGTATAAAAAATCTAAACATATAGCCCAACATTTGTATCACAACTAAAGTTACATAAATAACTCTAAATTAAGCATATAGGAGTACCTGTTTCTTTGTTAACCGCTCAACACAGAATAGCCGCATGTGCGCACTCCCTCAAATCATTCTATTTTATTCAGCTATGTTCAATTGTATCATACTATAAAATAATGCAATGGAATTTTAAGCGAATCTTGTCTGCTAAATTAACTAGTGTAGCCCACAGCCATATGGCATAGCCAGATCAGGGCCTAACATCAGGACAACTTAGAGTTGTTCATATCATGCTTCTTTAGCCCTGTCTAAAATAAATAATGGATTTATTGTGATGGTTTAGGCTATATTACATGGATTTATTAGACTTTTTTCAAATGTAGATGTTCCAAAGGTCTGCATCAGTGGCTTGTAGGCTATGCTTGGAAGCCAGGAAATGCTAAATCATATCAAATAAAATAAAATTCTATTGGTCACATACACATATTTAGCAGATGTTATTGCGGGTGTAGCGAAATGCTTGTGTTCCTAGCTCCAACAGTGCAGTAGTATCTAACAATTCACAACAATACACACAAATCTAAAAGTAAAATAATGGAATTAAGAAATATATAAATAGTAGGACAAGCAATGTCGGAGTGGCATTGACTAAAATACGGTAGAATAGAATATAGTATATACATATGAAATGAGTAAAACAGTATGTAAATATTATTAAAGTGACTAGTGTTCAATTATTCAAGTGATCAGTGATTCCATGTCTATGTATATAGGGCAGCAGCCTCTAAGGTGCAGGGTTGAGTAACCGGGTGGTAGCCGGCTAGTGATGGCTATTTAACAGTCTGATTGTCTTGAGATAGAAGCTGTCTTTCAGTCTCTCGGTCCCAGCTTTGATGCACCTATACTGACCTCGCCTTCTGGATGGTAGAGGGGTGAACAGGCCGTGGCTCGGGTGGTTGATGTCCTTGATTATCTTTTTGGCCTTCCTGTGACATTTGGTGCTGTAGGTGTCCTGGAGAACAGGCAGAGTGCCCCTGGTGATGCGTTGGGCAGACCGCACCACCCTCTGGAGAGCCCTGTGGTTGTGGGCGATGCAGTTGCCGTACCAGGCGGTAAAACTGTAAATGTTTGTGAGAGTCTTAGTCAAATTTCTTCATCCTACTGAGGTTGACAAGGCGCTATTGCGCCTTCTTCACCACACTGTCTGTGTGGGTGGACTATTTCAGATTATCAGTGATGTGTACGCCGAGGAACTTGAAGCTTTTCACCTTCTCCACTGCAGTCCTGTCGATGTGGCTAGGGGCATGCT